CATAGAAGTAGGCTAAGTTTTTCCTGGTATACTTACTTTCAAATAGGTGATTAAGCTTGATCTGTTCAACAAAATCAGGAAAGTTTCTGTTAATTTGCCAATTGAAACAATTAGGTATTAGGGAACAACAAAAAATTCAACTGAATCTGAGATTCTGAGCTCTCGTGGTATTCGCCCCGATAACACAACTTGTTTGTTCTCTTTTTCAGCACCACATCATGGGAATCTGGGAATTGTCAGTTGGCGGATTGTTGTATGTTGTGGGAATAGCGTTCTTCAAAAGTGATGGGGTGCTACCATTCGCTCATGCTATATGGCATCTTTTTGTCGTACTAGCTGCTTATTATCATTATTACGCTATACTGAACTACCTGTATCCATTGTCCATGATGACTTGATGTTAATGCCAAAAATTCTGTATTGTGATGCGTTTGATATTAATGTGTGTTTTTGTTTGTTCGTATTGGCGATGCAAAGATTTACACGCGCAACTCTAGTGTGACAATTTGGAAGTTGCCGATAAGTAAAAAACTAGATATAATTTTCATTTACTGAAGTTATAGGTTGAGACAACTGATAACCGTTACATCTCGAAACATGACGTTTCTCGGATAACATCTATAGCCAACAATCTAACAATATAAAACTACTGCATCGCACATAGAAAAAGAGGCTTCGATAACAAAATGAGAGCAAGACGCAACGATCGGAAACACGTGGTCACCTCGCCTAATATGACCAAATGAGCGAGGAAATAATATATTGCGACGCCATGCTAGTTGCATCAGAAAATGTGATATTGCAAGTTATTTTCTTTGGACTTAAGTTTCGAGTATAATATATTTATGTTGCTGAGATTTGGGCGTCCGAAGTTCAGTCGTTCTTGAACGTGTTAGAGCAAATAGACTCCATTTTTGTTTTCATCAGACTGTTTTAAACTTGATTGAAAATGGTGCACTAACAGTTGCCAGAAGGATAAAAATGAATGCATATCTCTTCAAGAGTGAGTCAATGAAGTAACTTATTCATAAGGCAATGGACATATTGATTTTTGGGTATTCTAATTGTTGATTTCCCCAAATATGTGAAAATAAATGGTTGATAGCCATGGGAAGAGATCAATTCTATCCTGAAAAAAATGCAAGATTATGTTCTGAGCATTTTCTTTCAAATCAATTTTGGAAGGGTATAACTTACTTTGAAATATGATGCAGTTCCTAGTTTTTCAACTTTCCATAGAATCGAAAAATATTTTTTCGATAATTATTCAATATTCCACTGAGCTTTCTGATTTTGAGACCTGAAACCCGATAGACAGGTAACAAAACAAGTAGAATCTAAGCCTTATCTAACCTATCTTTATCACACATGCAGTCATGTCGATGGTAGGATGGTTCTTTCTTCCTCTGATGTCGTTAATGCTCTCTATAGGACGGAAAGGCAGGAGTAGCCCTAGTAGTTGAATATTGTTAGATCGTTAAAGCTAGTGAGTATTGTTCCAAGATCGGTTCAAATTCTTCCACTAGAAGGAGTGATGTGAAAATCTGTTGTGTCGCATATTAATGAGGGCTAACATTCTTACTCTCACTAGGTCGTGGCGCAGTATCCGTCAAAGTCGAAATTCCTCATGCAAAAATAATTCAGGCTTTGGTTATGTTCGAGGTGTTACCCCATTTTTTGTACCTCCAAGAGTTGCGTTCCATTCGAGATACTCTACGACCAACAATTCACAGCACATTTTAAGTCGGCTAAATGTTTCAAGCGCAAACTTAAGTAGAATGGAATTGACAGTATAGTTGTATACTACTACATACTAACTATATATGAAAAAGCGTACAAGTATTAGAGAGAGAAACGTTGACAGTTGTCATAGGTTTGTTAAAAATAAAAATCGATGGATGTGCCAGTTTTATAGAACTAGAACTTGGAAGACGTTCACCTCTCTTCTTAATTCTTCATTGTGCTAACAATGATTGGTATATATGGTATATAGGGTCGTTGATTCGATCTTGAGAAGTTATTCTACTGAATCATGATAATATCGTTGATTATCAATCAGCAGCACTCCGTTCCACTTTGCGCAACCACGCAGACCCATTTTTGATATTGGTCATCAATGACGCAATCGATTACGTTTTCGAGTCCAAAAGAGCTGGACCCCAACAAATATGGTGCTAAGTAAATAAGCTAAATTTTCATTTGAATCGTTGTGTGTCTTTAGTAGAACAGTAATAAACTCAACTGTAATACCTACTTACGGGCGTTTCTCAGATTAGTAGAAAATAAGATAACCTAACTTCTATCGAAAGATGATACTGTACTGCGATCTGGTGGACAACCAAAACTTGTTAGTCCTCATTGCTTGTAAAGTTTACCTAGTATTGCTTGGCTTGATGGCTATTGTTTTTAAATTCAACTATTATTTAACTGTATCCTGTTATTGTTTGTTTTATTTATATTTATCTGCCAACCTTAAATATTTTATTTCATAGTAGTTTTTTCTATGACAATTTTTCATATTTAAAAGGTTGCATTAGAAACTGATGGGGTATCTTGTTGCCTAACCAACCCTCGGAAGCCTTTGAAGGGCTTGTGCGACCTGAGGTAATGACGAATAATCTGGGCAGTTCATACAAGTGGAATCCAAGCTACTCGCTTTAGTGTTCGTTCCCTAATGAACCGTATGACATCCATTGAATACGCTAGACCAACGACTGGCTGTAGGTACCAGAAATTCAGTAATTTCAGTATTAATATCTTGGATTCTGGAATTGCTAAGTGCCAAATACCAAATCTCATATTGATGCTGTTTTTATACATATTATGTCACTATGGTCGAGTTCCGATATTCCCAAGTATTACCAGTACTGTCCAGTAGTTGAGACTGTTCCGAAATTGCTGCTATCTGATGGCAGCACTTTCTTGCCTTCTGTTGATGCCAGTAATATTCCCCCTCTCCCACATGAAAAACTAAAAAGTGTAGTTATAATCATTATTAATATTTTCTTTACTTGCTGTTTGTTGTTCGAGGGTTTATAGTGATTTATATAAATATATATATAATTCTGCCATTTCAAACCTAAAACCATCCAATGAACAGAAATTATTCGTCAGATGTTATGAACATATGTTTCTGGTAGTTTTGGGTGAATTCGGAATTGAAATGTAAGATGAAATTGAATGGTGAATAACCTTTCGGGCGAGGAATAATTTGACCTCATATTGATAGTATACATATAAATCCCTGCAATTCATACTAGGAATTGATGTATTCCATTATCACTGCTACTAGAAGTATTTACTAGAGCTACTTCCATCATCAATATCAGATTCACCAAATAAAGAATAAAAGAATTCAGTAGTTACAGCTAGAACGAGATCATCCATATTCTCTCTAGATAAATATATTATTCATATTTTCATACCTTCACGACAAACGACATACCCCTCCATCACTGCTAGATATTCGTTCCGTTATTCCCCAGTAATAGTAGTTTACTGAAACTCAAATCGTTCCGTTGTACTGACTGTCATCAGTATATTCAGTAATATCGGAACTCGATCTATGATAGAGATGATGCGAATATATTGTGAGGCTTTTGTGATGTTAAACAAAGTAAGTACATGTAAGTACTCACTCTTAATGACCCCCTGGGGTCACAGTTATTACCGGATGGTGTTGATATTTCTTAAAATTGCTGCTCATAGAATGATCTGATAGAGAATAATATGTAAGGAGAAATTATAGTTTCCTTAGTTAATGTGAAGGTTTCTTCCTCATTTTTCTATAAATGAAAATAGTATATTCATCCAATATATTTGTTTGTTGTTTCGGGTTCTGCAAATTACCCCTACGCAAATTTTCGTGTTACATACAATTCGTGTATTTTTCGAAAAAATCTTTTATTTTGCTAACCCGAAACGCACGAACTTCTTTTCATGCTCTATATATTATTGCTTACTACATTTCTCTGAATTCGCTATATCACAGATTATAGGCAAATACAGGGTGGCGCAGTAGATATGGATTTTAGAATGGATAAAACAAAGGTTGTTATAAAATGACCAATTTCCCTACCAATGGAGGTTAGGTTTTGGATGACCCAAATGGCGACTCTCACTCTCAAAACACATAGTAAGTAATTTTCTGAAATTTTCGTTCACTTTATTTTGAACAGAAGTTTCGACGAATAGGACTCGAATATTGGTTTTGAGGGTTTTGGCACATCCTGTTCCTCTGAGGTGAAAATGTGCTTTGTCAGTGAAGAGAACGATATCGTCTTGAGGCAGCGTATCAATAAGCATATTTTCACTATCGAGTTTTCTGGGTTCAAAATCATAAGATTTCAATTCATGGCGATAATCATCTTGAAAGGATACAAATGAAGATGTTGAATGGACAGTCTCGAAATACCAAGGACATAATATATCTGCCTGCTTCCTAATTGAACGTCTGGGCGAGATTGTTGAATTGCAGCTTGACTGCTTGAACCCTCTCGTTATTTTCTAGGGTAGTCACAGTAGACTCCTGAGGCCCTCTTCTTATCATGCATAAAATTTCCGATACCCGGAAATGCATTAAACCACACGAGTATTCGATTCCGATCAGAAATTCGTTGACGGAAGGGCAATATTGAATCTTGAAGGAAGGCACGCTGAACACGGATGATCGAGCGGGTGTTCCACACATAGATCTGTGCACAATAATACGTTATTGAGTGGACTACTCCACTAACCTAACCTAACCCATTAAAAATCCAATAGTGTCCCGCGCGCCACCTCTTGTATTAAGTTGTAGTAAGTATATAACTTTAAAGTTGGGTTTGGTCATACCATGAGAATTTATGGATAGTTAATGTACGTATAAAATAAACAGCATCTCATACTCCATGATCTGACACTTTGTAAGAATTATACCTACAATAGATATTAGTGAAAATACATTGGATCAAATATCCAAATACTTTTAGCAGCCGATATATGTCTTTGTATCTTTACAGAACAGATCTAGGTGTTCACCAAAGTATTTTTCCAACCTACCTCCACCCGAAGGAAATAATCCGTAATTGTTAAAATGCACCTACGAGACTGATTTGGTGATGAGTAGGTAACTATTGTATTTCTATATATTATGTAACTTCCATTTGAATTGAAATCATAAAATCCTGTGACCACATATATATCCATTTTGAAATTATACAGATATGCATCAGTATGATCGTGCATTGTTTATATCTTATTTCTTTATGCCCCTCCTATATCCATCTATTTGAAGATACAAATATCCAATCCAATGAGCCCAGGAATATATGCGGTGATATATAGTTTTCATTATATATGTTACATCAAACTTCAAGGTCCAAAAGAATATAAATATATGCTGCCGAAATTTTGAGTTGTTTTGACCAAATGTCAAAAATATTGGTGAAATAACATCCCATTTTGGTAGAGACCGCTAGATTTCTCGGTTGTTATTGAAGATTAGAGCCTTGCGGTTTTTCACGTTCCTATAATAATTTTTTGTGAAACTCATCAAGTTGGCCTTATATCCATCTGAACAGCATTTTTGCGAATGTAATACTTATTCACTCGGAAACGGTGAGTTCAACATAAAATAGTATAGGTATATCTTATTTTTTTCATTTAAATCATGATTTTTTACCTACCGGCGCCATATTGAACGATCCAAAATCTGCAGTTAATTTGAATACACTATTTTTTTAAAGCTGAAAATGAAAAAAATCAAGCCAATCCTGTTAATTCGGAATAAAGTACTTTTTTGCATATGAAGGGTCGAAAGCATGAGGAACAATAATCGAAGTTGGTTTTCTTGCAAAAAATCCTAATATGATTTCATGAAAATCGGCCCCTTTTTATTTCAATAAAAAAGCACGACACTGTCTAAAAGAATATTCGACCATGAAAATCTGATCATCATATATATTGATGTTTAATCATTCCAGTCCAAATTTGGTACGACTCGCACGACTAATTAATAGCTGAGATATAGAAGGGGAGGGGGCGTTTAAAGTGAGGCACGCTGTATGTTTGAAGTATTATATACACGTCTAGCAAGAATAATTGTCCTATAGAGAAACCTTGTCGTTGTCCCACCTACTTGAGTATGGCACGTGTGGCAAACTCAAAAGTGGCCTTATTCTGTCGGACCGAAAAATGTACTCGCTCGAATGGATGGCATCGTCACTTTTTTAGAGTGTTGCGATTTTCACATTACTGCCTTACTTTTTGTGAAACGAAAGGGTAATGCCACAAACATAAATTTCACAGTCCTTCATGTTTCTGAGATCGATACAGGGCAAAGTTGAAAATTCTCAATTTTTGAGCAACTATCCCCCGTATCTTATTGGTTACTTTTCAACTTATCGGCAGGATCAGCATGAGATCGGAGCCTTATCAAAGTGGCACGTATTCTATTTCTGTAATCGCTCATATATTCAAAAAATGAATGAGCCTAAATATACCTTTCTTTTCAAATGGAAAAAAGTCAACTATTATATATTTTTGATGAGCTATAAGAAACTTTAATCGCCAATAAGATACGGGAGATGCTCGACAAGTGTGAATTTTCAACTCCGCCGTGTATCTCAAAAACATGAAGGACTGAAAATTACGTTTGCGGCATTATTCGTTTCACAAAAAAGTACCCATTGGACAAAGAAAATGAAAAAGATGTTTGCTGATGTTATTTTCGAAGTAGCAATGAATACTTTCCATAAACACGTAACAATGACCAATATAAAGCAGTAATAAGAAAAACCGCAACACCATCTCCAAAGATAACTGAGATATCGCGCAAAAGCATCGAAAACTGAACACACCAGCATGCACCCGTTAATCTGTATGTCAATGACGGCTAGATATCTAGACTGTCTGACGGGTTATACAGTCTAGATATCTAGCCGTCATCGTGTAAGTACCCGCCTAGTGTAATTTTCGATATCTAGCGAAATATAGCTCAGTTTTCTTTGGAGATAAGGTCGGAGATTATTGTGGTTAGGCCACTGACATGAACGGGCCACTATATTTATCTGCACATCTGATTCATTTCATGTATTCTTCCAAATAATGATGGAAGTGAGATATGGTGTAATTACTGATGCGCTTTCGTTTCAGAAATTTTACTCGACCTCTCGAGAACAGTGAGAGCAATGGTTCCGTCGATCTTCTAATAGATGGCGACATTGCCAAATTATGAAATCAGTCAGTTTTGAAATTGTCGCAGATTTTTCGAATTCAGAGTTGAATAATCCTACTGGTTCATATTATGTTCCACGTACCTAAAATGCCATTTGCCATTTTATTTTCACTCGTCACAGCAGCAATAGCAGCATCACCATCTAGCGGACAAATGTAGAATGAACGTCTCGCTCGTTGTGGACGTAGAGAAATCATAGTAGGCGGTCGCGTGATTTTTCTGAAATTTTCAATATGCAATAATGGCCGAATGCGCGCACCATATTATCTTACTTCCATCATTTTCCAAATTATGGTATTTTGACGACATGTGACTGTGTAAAATCAACTGCAGAGAGAACGCAGGAAAAAAGCGCGTGATCCGTGGTGGGAGAATGTTGTATCGAGTTAGACGCGACAAAACATCGAGTCTGATATAAGGGTTCTGCATAAAAAATTAAATGAGACTACTTTTTCTGAACAATCTAGGCCTAAATGAAATTTTCGTGAAGAAGGAATGTCGTTTCCACATAAAAAATGAGACTACTTTTTCCAAGCAATCTAACCTTAGTCGGCCGAAATGAACCTTTTACCTAAAATGTGTATCTTTCAGAAAAATTACTCTAGAACAAAATGAAAAAAGAGTCGACCCTAACATGGGATTGAACTCGAGTCACCGGTGTGCCGCATGTATTAAATTCATTTATTCATCATCAGAGTTTTAAAACAATACATCACATATTTCACTCATATTTGCATACAATAGATTTGGCATATCTGAGTATGCCTGAACGTTCCTCAGAGGTCGCTGGTGTTGGCCAAGGAATATGAGAGGATATGTGAAGTGTTCGTCGCAGTGACCTATCTCCTAGGGCTAGGCCCTTTATAAAGGTAATCTCGCTGATGGTACCCAAAGGGTGGGGAGCTGCTCGTGCGCGATCAGAGTGGAAAGGGTTTCTTGGGCGGTGGAGGAAAAATAAAATTCTCGGGCAGTTGTGCGCATGTGTTTCCACATGGGCACTCCTGCCCGAGTTCAGTGTAATTTATTGACACTTATTTTCATGTTTGGGAGATAGTGCTGTCTAGAGTCTCCTCGGTGGCTCGGACATGTCCGACCATCCGGGGAGGTTCCCGACTATAGATTATCAGGCTCCCTAAACAAATCGGTTGATGCATATATCAGCCCGTGTTTTTTTATGGATGTTATGGTGTTGTCTAAGTGTTGTAATATTCCGGGTAAGGTCACTTCCAGTGATGTGGTATTTGTATAATCTGTTGGCTATTTGCAGAATGTATTCATTGATTCTGGGCAAATTACCACATCTCTCGTGGAGATCTGCCACTCGAGAGTATCTATCACCATTGGTGATAATAGCGTACCGCATGGATTCACAACCACTGTGCTATCCGAATGCTTGAAAAGTGTTGTATGAAGAAGGGATTAATAAGTTTCAGTGTTTCAGTCCGTGCGCCATGACACGAGCAAAGAGGAGGCTGACGAACCTACTATTCTTTGACACAAGATTGACACAAGACCCTAGGGCCTAGACACAAGCAGTTGCCCGCATAGGCCATATACGTTCCCCCACCACGCGCTTTATTTCTTGCGTTCTCTCTGCAGGCGCTAGTCAAGTCAACCTCTTCTTCTTCTCGCTTTTCCCTATAACCTAACCTCTATTATAGTTGTGGAGAGAGAGAGAAACAAGTAAACAAAAAAAAAGCAGGATCTTCGAATTTACACATTATAGTCAAAATAGACATTAAATTCTGGAACTCATACATATGATTTTATATTTGAATTATACCCATAATGGAAATGTAAGTGTCTGTAATTGAATTATGTATATAATGTACCAATCAGAATGTGATCATTGCATATTATGACAAAATTATATTATATTACAGAGTAAATGCCAACTCTGCATCACTGAGCAATCTTGAAGTTTTCAAGCACCTTCAGAAAATCAAGGACAGCAAAAGGAAACACAGGGGTCAGCTTGCTACAATAACTTATGAGGTGAATTCATTGTGCAAGGGATTATAATACATTGAAATAAAAAATCCAGATTTCAAGAAATCATTGTCATTACATATTATTAGGGTCTATTTTCCAGTGATTCATAAGCAAGCAATCTAGTGTAGCTTTATAACTTTGGTGTTAAAAGTATCCATCAATGAATCTAATATCACTATAATGAAAAAATGCACAACAGATCTTTTGCTTTTCCTAACTCCACACAAGTTTTGACTTCTGGGAACTTTTAAGTAGTGATATACATTTTTTTTACAAATCTCAATATGAGGCAACAATTTCTAGATATAAGTATGCAAGTCATATACAGAGTCCTTTTCAGACAATTCGTTATTTGGAAAATACTCCTTGTGCTGATGAAACTAATGAGAGTGTGAAGGAATGCTTGAAAGCATTAGCACCATTCAATCTCAATAAGACTGAAATGTTGATGATGATAAATTCTCCTCCAATAACAGCATTGGAGATCCAACTGGTATGTACTGATCAAAATTATGTTTTAAATATTCATTCAAACCATCATCAAAATACTTTCCCTATCCACCTCCTAAGGTAACACTGCTTTTCAGGAACATAATGTTATCAAAAAAATGACAAAAAAAAGATTATTATCAATTGTAGATGACATTCAATTCTGCAACTATAGATCAATGAGGGCTAACATCATTTATTGTCAACCAAAACTTGCCACTGAAAGGTGAGGTCAGAGTTGGTAGAATTGATAAATATACTTCTGCTATCCATAAAATTTTGGGATTTTCCACATTGACCTCACTGAACTATGAACTCACATTTTAGTAGCTCCAACTGGTGAGAGTGGTAGTGTTAGCCCTCATTCTGATATAAGTGATTTTTTAATTTCCTACCATAACCATTGAAGGGTATTGTTTTCAGTCCAATTTTGGAAGCCAAGAAAGTACATTTTTCTGAAATGTTAGACCATATTTGATTGAAAAAAAGAACAAAACAAATCATTCAGGGTTCTTTTGAATTTCTGTATTATATGAATGTAAAATTAGTATTATTTTGATATAGATGGTGGAAGAAAGTGAAGAAAGACTTACAGAAGAACAAGTTCAAGAAATCCTAGAGATAATTGTGAGATACTTCCCCTATGTTGTTATGAAGGAGGCTGATGAAGAAGACAATGAATCCCAAGAATGAAACCTGATTATGTGAGATAGGTAGTTGGTAAAGGATATTCTACTGTGATTATTCAAAATAAGCAGCATTCCATATAGGAAGAAAAACTAAATAGCTATTTGAATGACTATGATTTACCATTTAATATAATTGATTGGTATGACTTGTGTATTCTCCATCTTAAATTTGGATATGTAACAATATTTGTTATGCCAGATCTGTCATCAATAAAGAGTAGGTACTAACTATTTCCAGCTTTACTCTCTACCCTGGGAGTGTAGTCATGATGGTTGATAGGTGAACTTTAGTTGAAAGGAAAAGTAGTAATATAGTCTTACCACTTGCATGCCAAATACAAATCAGGATATAGGATATTTTATCAAATGATGAAGGAATGTTGATCAGCTTGTAAATGAAATAATTAGAATTTATAGATTATTGTTAACAACTATAATATAATGACAGTGGTTTATTGTGCATGAGTTATGAACAGATAAATACTGGCCTAATATTGGAATAAATTATCTCTTCTGATCACCTAGATCCTCTATGAGGTCTTCATCAATCTAAAACATTAATTAGTTCTAACTATCAATTGATTGAGTCTGATGTACTCACCTCTGGCCACTTTTCAGGTATAATGTCAAATAGATCATCTTTCACATCTCCTTGTATAACAATTTCATCATCACCAGTAACTGATGAGCCACAGGCAAATCGTGTGCCAAAAAATTTTGCAGCTACTTTTAAATCAATATCTACAAGGCAGGGACACTAGTATTCCAAGTATTTCATCAATCAACAGTCCTTACCAAAACTACTCAACCCTGTAACTACTGTAACAGACTTCTTCTTTCCTCTAGGTGCCCTGGATACACACACTTGTTTTGGACCATCCTCTTTTTTCTTAGTTTTGATCATACCTTTTCCACCCCGTTTTTGTCGCTTCTTCTCTTCTTCAACAGGGTTGTCATCACCTATTCTGACTTTCTCGAATTCTTCTGGCAAGTGCTTTTCAAGCCACTGTTTACATTTTTCATACTCTGGATAATACTCACAATACTAAAATTATAAATTTAATAGAATTATGCACTGCAAAGAGTAGGGATTGTTTCACATTACCTCTAAAGGCATTGAACAATTACCACAATAAATCACATGAAGAGGATAAGAAACTCCATCTCTGGGACCTTGCTTCAGTTTGTCTTCAACAGACATTTTATCACCAGCTCAACGGCCAATGTTTAGTAGGGAACAAGGATTTACTATACTTTTTTAGGAATTTCAGGTAATATCAATAATTTCTTATATTCTTATGAACAACACCTAACCTCGAACTTTAAATTGACACTGACAGTATGAAGTATGACAGTTCGGTGTCACGAACGTGATTGAGAAGTTCCTAAATCTTTCGAACCATTCCTATCACGTGATATGTTGAGATTGTCTTTTTGGGAGCATCTCTTTGCACCCACATCTCGTTGGAGCCACATTTCGTTGCAGCCACATCTCGTTGGAGCCACATTTCGTTAGGCCCACAGTATCCGAACGTACCCGAACGATGCGATGTTGCCACATATTATTCAAAAATCTCGATTATACTGAAAAAGTGACCCTAACGAGACACTCTCCTCTTGATCAATCCACGTTTCTTTCAAGCTACATTTCGTTGCACCCACATCTCGTTGGGCCCATTTCTCGTTGGAGCCACATTTCGTTGCAGAGCTACATCTCGTTGCAGCCACATCTCGTTGGGCCCAGATTCGGCGACCCGGGTTCAATGCCTGAGACGGTCGGCATTTTTTCATTTTGTTTTCTCAAGTGATTTTCCGAAAAATATAATTTTTAGGAAGAAGGTTCATTTAGGCCGAGTAAGGTTAGTTGGTTTGAAGAAGTAGTGTCCTTTTTAATGCAGAGGGATATTTTCCTTCCTGAAAAAAGTACTGTCTTTTTAGGAAGAAGGTTCATTCAGGCTGAGTAAGGTTAGATGGTTTTTAAAAAGTAGTCTTCTTTTTTATCCTTCCTCGCTGAAAAAAGTACTGTGGAGGCATTTACTGTGCTGTTGAGGCTTGAAAGAGATGAAAGTATACCGCAATGTCTCGTTAGAGCCACAATATCTTTCTCAGTAAAATAGGGAACCTTGTGGCAACAGCGCAGCTGTCGGGTACGTTCGGAGACTGTGGGACCAACGAAATGTGGCTCCAAAGGGATGTGGCTGCAACGAGATGTGTCTGCAACGAAATGTGGCTCCAACGAGATGTGGCTGCAACGCGGCGCACTCGGTTTTTTTTATGATTATTTTCAATAAAATTGTGGAGCCTGTTTGGTCAGACTTTCATTCTGGTCCACTAATAGCATGGCGCGAGCAAACTGTTATCATTTGTGTAATGATTTAGGCTCTCAAGGATGTTTTTCTTTCCTCTCAAGACCCCCATCAGGCTGTTGTTAATAATTCTGTTTTTTTTACGAGCGATTGCGCATATTGTATCACGTGATTCACTGTGACCAATCGGGCAATGAGGTTTGAGCTTAGATCATACAGGAATTTGAGATTGGTTCGAAAACTTATGGCATGGCATCTTTTCGGGGTCGGATCACTGAACTATTATAGGTCAGTGGGTCGGATCATTGGGAAGCACTGACCAACCCGTCAGACAGTCTAGATATTTAGCCGTCATTGACTGATCTAGTTGTCGGAAGACGGAACTAACAAACAAAAGCATGAACCAGCGTGAACAAAAAAAGGAGAAGATATATTTCCATTTCTAAATTCTGATTTTAACCTTACTGGATCCATTACACAAAAATTAGTAAATACTTTAAAAAATACTGGAAAATGTTTATGAAAAAGAGTGTTCAAAGCGTCAATTTCTATAAAAAGTATTGCCGAAGATATTATTCTAATAGAAATATACTAAAACTCAAAGAACGTGGTATGTTTCAAGATATTTTTCCGGAAAATGCAGGGTAAGGAAAAAATTATATTAAAATCCATTCAACAGTTTTCAATGAACAAGAAATCGTGAACTATATACCATTATAACGTGTAATATATTTTTTATGTATTATTAGAATTACAGTCACGGATTTGATGAATTCTGGCTCACAAACTGTGTATGCAGGTTTTGACCCTACTGCAGATAGCTTACATGTTGGAAATTTGTTGGTATTGTTAAATTTATTACATTGGCAAAGAGGTGGACATCATACTATTGCTCTGGTGAGCACCATTATTACAAAAAAGTACCAATTCTCATTTCTATTTATTATAGGTGGGAGGTGCTACTGCTAAAATAGGTGATCCAAGTGGTAGAAAAACAGAGCGCCAAGCAATGTCCAAAGTTTTTGTAGATGATAATGTTTCTGGGATAAGGAAAAATATTGAAACTGTTTTTTCCAATCATCAGAAATTCTTATGGAAGGATGCTGACACTTTGAAACCTGTTAGGTAGATGTTAGAATGTAGCAATTAATATTGATACTCACTTTGCTAAGAGTTTTCACTGTTCTCACTAATTTCTTGGTTATGTGTTGTTGGATATTTTTTTCTTCCACATCATATCCATGTTGATTGTGAATGCTAAAACAAGACATCCAGTTCATTTCCAGACACTATATTATAGATACTTCAACTCATGCTTCAATTATCTTGTATTGTTTTTGCCCCAACCAACATGGCTTGTTTCAGATTTTAAATTCATTTGTGAGGTTGCTTATACAAAATATTATTGTTTAAGGATAGTAAACAATGAGGACTGGTATAACAATATAAGTGCTGTTGAATTGATAGGTGGGGCAGGGCGATACATGAGAATGGGGACACTTCTCTCAAGAACTAGTGTACAAACAAGGCTCAACTCAGCAGCAGGCATGAGTTTCACTGAGTTTAGTTATCAGTTATTCCAAGCCTATGATTGGTTGCATTTATTTAAGAATTACAGTTGCTCATTTCAGGTGAGAAAAAACAAAAGATTTTCTATGAACATGATTTGGAGTAAAGATCTCTGAATTCAGAATTCTACCTGGAGAATCTTCTTCCCTAAATATGTGGAGATTTAACATAAAAAACTTGCATAAAATATGTATCTTCATTGGGACTCAGTGTTTCATTTACATAATTATAAATTATATTTTCCATTAGTTTGATAGATTTTGATATTTGGCATAGAATTGAGAGGTGAAACTATTCCTCTTTTTCCTACCATCGGCATTCACTGGTAATAATGATATTTTTTATAATTTTCTAATTTGATCCAAGTCATTGAGGATGATTTTAAATATTCTTGTTGGAGGACTCTCCAGTTAACTTATAAACAACATTGATAATCATTTATATAAACTTTGATGTTCATAACACATATTTTTCATGCTGTCTTACTATTTATTTCAGATAGGGGGAAATGATCAAATGGGAAATATAATGTCAGGTCATGAATTGATAAGTAAAGTCTGTGATAAACAAGTTTGTGGTGAGTACATAATATATTGAGTACCTACCACATAATATCATGAACACCCTTGTATATAATAATTTTATTCATATTCCTCCGTTTCCCGCTGCTTTTTTGAACATTATACAGCATCACAATGTGATGGAATGCTTGAATCAATGAATAGCCCAAAAAACACGATTCATATACCAAAACATCCCGAAAAACTATTTCAATCCCTTGATAAGAGAAGTGAGGTTGTGTTTCAATGGTTTACAGAAAAGTGAGGTTGTGTTTCAATGTTTTACCCCCAAGGTCGGTCATTTGACAGATCTTGCACGCAACCCATACACGGTCTAGAAATTTTGTTGATTGTAATTATCATAGGATTATAGGTTATGGGAATTATTTAGTTATTGTTCATCCCTTCGATTTCAGTTCGGGCGTGTTCGGATGTTTTGATTGTGTAAGCAAGACTTATCAAATCCATAGTCATTCTAGATTAAAATCTTCGCCTAAAGGCTGAACATTTCTAAATCGCTTCAATTCGGAAATGAAAATGATTTGATCCATTTCATTTAATATTTTGGTTTGGGAAAAACGTTGAGCTCATCAGTGTTTTCGATGGTATGAAATTGAAGCAAGAGTGATTCAATACTGAATTGTTTACATACTTTTCGCTTTTCATGGATTTATTCATCACTGATGTTCAATAATTCTCAGTGAAAAAACTCTTCAATTCTTCAAAGGTTTGACGCTTCCACTGGTAACGACCGAAATGGGCGACAAATTCGGCAAATCGGCCGGCAACGCCATCTGGCTCTCCGATGATAAAACCTCCTTCTTCACCTTTTACCAGTTCTGGATGCGGCAACCCGACTCCGAAGTCGAAAAATTCCTGAAACTCTTCACCTTCGACACGGTAGGCAGCATTTCCGATCTGATGCGGCGGCACCGTGAACAACCCGAACTGCGATTGCCGCATAGGCGGCTGGCCGAACAAGTGACGCTCTTAGTGCACGGCGAGGAGGGATTGAGAAAGGCGCAGCAGGCGAGCGAGGCCCTCTACGAGGGGAGTGTATCGGCGATGGGCCAGATGCACGCCGAGGACGTCGCTAGGTTGTTCGAGGGGGCGACGGTCGTCGAGGTGCTGCCGGAGGCCGGTCAGAGCGTGCTCGATTTAGCGATGAAGGTTGGGTGTTTTCCGACGATACGTAAGTATTTGCAAACAATAAATATTTTAGACAACCGAGTGAGGCCCTCTACGAGGGGAGTGTATCGGCGATGGGCCAGATGCACGCCGAGGACGTCGCTAGGTTTTTTGCGGCAGCGACGGTCGTCGAGGTGCTGCCCAAGGCTGGTCGATCAGAGCTTGCCCGATTTAACGATGAAGGTTGGGTGTTTCCGACGATACGTTAGTATTTGCAGAGTATATCTGGAAAGTAATATTGTGATTAAGAAAAAAAATTGAATGAATATTTTCGGCTCCTTCACCTTTCTGCTGACGTCATTGGTGAACTGTCATGTTCTATTTATATGTTTGGACAGTTTGGGTATAAAGAAATTCTGTATATCCATTGACTACTTATATGGAGGATATTTGTAATTTGATTTCCTGATTCCGGCACATTGTATTTTAATCTAGTTATAGTGCGTACTTTCCGAAAATGTAAGTTTATCGTACCTTTCCTCAGGTTATTCTAATCATTCAGGTTGGGAGAGTAGGGTATCAGAGTTGAGCAAGCCAATGTAAGTAAGTTATCAAATTGTTGATGGTTCAAAAGTTATTAAATTTTTCTGAAAACGAGACCCATTTACAAAAAATTATTAGCAAAAAGACTGTTTTGAGTAACCCCATATGATAAACCATTTCTGAATCTTTATTAAATGAGCAACTCTTTCTTTCAATTGGTTATCTTCATGAAATAGTTCATAAATATGCCAGCAGCATTTAAAAATTAACCTAAATATTTCATTTGATGACAAAACTTGAGGAAAACAATATTTTTCTCAGGTAACTAACAAGAAGTAACACATGTCATGTGGATGAAATTTGTAAAAAAAAATCACAAATGTGACATAGTTTTATTGTAATCCTTTTTGTTCATAAAAATTAAAAAATATTGATAACTTTTGAACCATCAACAATTGGATAGCCACATATACGGTTAGTTTGATTGAAAAAGATCCCCCTACCACCCCACTTCTTTAGATTCATGACTTATAGGACACTCTGTATATTTAAATAACAACTAGAATATCTCCATTACTCAAAGTTGAATGAAAAAACTCTTAACTTGAGTGGATTTTCATAGTTTCCAAGAAATTAATAAATTATACCTGGCATCCGCGCCCAAAACCAGCTCTACACCAAACCATGCTTAAAAAGTGTTTAAAAGTGTTTTTAACCGCCAGCTTAGTTGCAAAGCAACCCTCGAAAGTCAGAGACTTGTGTGAGTTAAGAAGACGCTGATACCTGCGAGTTCATTGAGGTTATGCTAGCATCATTTATTGTTGTTTACGTTTCTTGATTTTCGTAATTAGGTATTTCGGAATGCTGTCAAAATCAGATTCAAGATGGTTGCTGTACCCAAACAAATAGCTGTCATTCCGTGACTTTTTTAACCATATTTTCAATTGAATATAAAATGTGTTAAATGCTGCTTTCTTCGCTTCTTTAGTTAATAATTGAACTTTATATACTTAGTTTTATTAGGATTGCATCATCTTCATGAAAATTATTGAATAGTTGATGTGTATTCCTGTGGTGTATTCTGGACACTATTTGGATAGGTTTTGCTTGGTGTTTGTGTTATAACAATGTTTTATTGTGTAATAATCAATTGTAAGAGTTGGTAATATCGTGATAGCATGAAGTTTCATCGAATCCTGAGTGTCTTGAAATTTAGACATAAATTGGAGCAATGAATTATCAAAAGAAGAGACAAGTGGATAAATAGAAATGGTTTGATGGAGCAGAAACTCAAAATGTTGAGAGTTTGCAGCAAACATTTCCTACCTACTTGGTGAGTTCAGTGAAACAGGTAATGAATAGTAGTAAATATAATAGGTATAATGGAAATTTTAGGGAAACCTGCATATCTATCAGATGTCAATAATTCTATCTGAGCTCCCAGTTTATTTTTGGGATAGGATAGCTTAGCCTCTGACAACCAATCTAAGGAAACTATCAATGATATGGAAACATCAGAATGCCAAGGTGAGGCTGCAGGACCATCTGATTTCAAACAGGCTGCAGGGCCATCTAATGAACAGGCTGTAGGATCATCAGATTTTCAAGATGATAACCTCAATGCCTTACTATAGTTCCTGCTAAATGTGATAAATATTCACAAACAAATATCACAGCTGTCAGCCTAGTGCTGATCTGATTATAATTTGATAGGAATCACCCCACAAAAGGAACAGTGTGTTTGATCAGTGAGGCTTGTGGAAAAAGAGCATCTGATTATCCCATAGCAATCAATTCAGAATAGATAATATTATTCCAGGTGAGTTTCTGTACAAGATCAATTGAATATAATAAAATAAAAACCAATCTTTATTAAATCCAGAATTACTGAAAGAGAATAAACTTTTTAAATTAGTTTTATTGACTAGAAGCTAGAAATCTTTTATATGTATGGAAAAACTAATTTTATTAAATAGCATGCACTGTTGAAAATGTTCCACTTGTCTTGACTTTCAATCTATTTATGTATGTCTACTGTTCTAACAATCTTCCTGAACTCATCTGAATTTCAAACAGTATCTATCCAACTTTCAATTAATACAAATTCAATTTGTAGGTGATTTGATTTTAGGTGACCATGGCTTTTTGGTTGGTGACTATGTACAAATTTTGAATGCCCAAGTGAAGATTCAAGCTTTTACAAAAGGAAAGAAACAATTACATCCTACTGAGATTGTGGGAACTAGAGCTACTGCCAATGTGAGAATTCATGTGGAGTGAATTATTGGTGCAATGAAACAGAAGTACAGGATATTAGCTGATCAACATGGCAAATTCACTTATAATGTGGTGATGATCCAACTCTCCACAAAATCATTACAATTTGCTGTGCAAATATCAACATATGTCCCCCAATTGTTCAATTGGACTGAATATATTATGTTCTTGATTGATGAAGATATATAGTCATAGAGTTTTTATGCAATATAGACAAATCTTTGATAAGTAGGAACCAAATATATACAGCATATCTCACTCTGTAAGCCCCTTCCTCTATATCCCTCAACTGGTCCCTCAATATCTTGATTTTTATGAAATCATATTAGGAATATTTTGGCATAAAAACTAACTTCATATTGTTCCTCATGCTTCCAAACCTCTATATTGTGCAAAAAAATCACCACATTTCAAATTGACAGGATTGGCTTAATTTTTTTCATTTTCAGCCTGGAGAAAATAGTGAATTCAAACTGCTAATCATGATTATAAAAAAAAGATACAATATTTTATGTTGAAGTCACCATTTCAGAGTAAATAATGATAAGATTACATTTGCAAAATTGCTATTTAGATATGCCTGTTTCTGAATTTTGAACAAAACTAGTTTGCTCACTCACAACTCACCTAAATAATAAATCATGATAAGTAGTAGATATTTGGGAACACAGGAGAAGAAATACTCAGTTTTTTTTCAAAAACACAAATGAACAAGATTGAAATTTATTATATTGTTGTAGGAGATTTTTCTTCATGCCAACACTTGGTTGGTCAATTTTCACAAACTTTTCATGAAACATCAATGAACAGTGGATTCATATGTTAATTCATAATCAAATTGTTGATAAAAATATTCCTTGTGATAAGACTGATGAGTATTGTTTAAAAAAAATCTGAATTACCATGTTATATTGAGTTAATGTGATAAATATTTTGTGTATGAATGATAGGTACTCATTATGATAGCAAATGTGTTTGTAATTATTAATAAGTATTTTGTGTGATGATTATATCTATAGATACTTTGAACTGTGATGATTGTCAAAATTTCCAAATTGAAAATTCAAGAAGAATTATTGATGAACAAGGTTGATCTGTTTTTCAATGAATTGTTGGTCAATACAGCAAACTTCAACAAGACATTAAAATGTTCAAGATAATTCACAAAAATGACTTAGTGGACTTTCAGGAAACACATTCTGTTGACTATATAATTATTATTACAGGTATTACATTGAAATGTGTTTGAGAAAACTATAGTTAAGATAAATAAAATCATGAAGAATGAATATGTAGTGTTTTAATGAATTATAAGGTTGAAAGAAACTATTTATAATATAGCTTAATTTTTAATTGAAGAGTAATTGATTTCATCAATAGTGTAGATATTTGGGGGAATTGTGTCAATATCTTATTTGTGAATTTTCATATTTGTCTAGTAGTTAAGAACAAAGTGAATATTTTTGACATAAATTTCCAGTAGTGATATTGCAGAGCAAGACTAACATCAAAATATTTTCTGGAGTTACTATGGTCAGTATACATTTTTAGATATTTAGAGTTGAATCATGATAGTTTAAATCCTTGCAGATCAGAGCTTACAGGAGTCTGATACAAATTTTTCAAACAGGATTTGCACAAATAGGTAAAGTGGAGGGAATCAGTGATATGCATTTGTGTTGTCCTTGTAAGTGAAAGACTTGGTAAAAGAGTATCAAAGGAGGAAAGTACCTACACTCACTATAATATGCCTGTTTTGTGTGAAAATTATTGAGGAATTAATATGATTAATTGCTTATGCATGGCAGGGATATCAGATATTTGCTAGGTCAATTTCTCTTGAAGATTCCAATATTTCTGAGAGCTGTTGCCTTCTATAGGTTGAATATGTTCCAACTTTAGTGTGATTTTCTCTCAGATTTTTAAGACTGGCAAAAGTAACATGAGAAGGTATAGGTTTCATCCATTTTGCCTGAAAATGGGTACTTGACTTGGCAGTTCTGCAGTTGTGAATACATGTTAAGCTATAGAGACAAGCAACAAAATGACTACAAACTTCTGACAGCCCAGCCATGCAGGGGTAATGGCTCTGTATTTATTCCTTGATCACTTTTACACAATACCCAGACTTCTAGTGAGGGTAAAATCATCATTTAAAAATGTTTCACCTACAAAAATATCGAATATTTAACAGGTACTATCCAATTATCCACTCATAGTATGACTGCCTAGAACAACAAACATAATATGCCACTGATTTTCTTCACTCCACATAGGTATTTGTACAAAACATGCCTCAGAAAATGTATACCCACTCAAACTTTCATGAGCTTTCGTTTGCTCTGCAGTATAAAAACTAGGAGTTGATCTATTGAAGTGACTCCAGGAAACATCGGAGCCTGGGTTTCTATTATTCTGCAGAGAATAAGGATCAATAGAATCACTGACTTTGAGATTCTCTTTGTATCGCTCTATATTATGACCACCAGTAATTTTTAATTTCAATAAATATTCACTTTATTCATGATAAAAAACTACAATATCAAAAAATCAAAACAAAATCAGTGACGATCATAACCTTAAAACAGTAAATTTTTGACGTTTGAAGTACGGACGGAAACGGGGCAGGTACAGCGGCCATTTTTAGGTCACGGGTTCTGGAATGCCTAATTCTTGGTCTATTATTATAAGTGCATTGTTTCCTTTGTATCACTTGTTGATTGTGATCAATATGCTGTGATTCAAGTTGAATTTTATCTCTACAGACCAGTTAGTTCGTCATAATGTAATATTTTTGGATATTCCTGATGGTATATTATTATAATTATCTCTTGGAACGCACGAAAGGAAATTCCTATAATGTTCGTGTAACATCGTGCGTACCTCTAATTTCCTTTTTCTTGTTTTCAATTCATTCATTTTTCAGGATATACTCTTAATCATTATGAGTAAGCCTTCTGAACAAGTGGAACAAAGTTGTGTCAGCTGTTGCCAATTTGAGATATTGAAATTCATGTTATTATAAGATGGTTATAAGCGTTATGAGTAATTTTTCATCAGAATGATTCCATATTGACTTTTGAAGAACTGCTTTTCATTAATGTTTCTCCTTATGTTTGAGTTATCTAAATAGTTTTGCATGGAATCTAGTATGTTTTTTATTTTGAAAAGTTTATGAATAGTTATTTAACCAACTAGTGTATTAATGAGGGCGATTAATGATCGAGATATTTTAACGTGCGAGCGAAGCGAGTGCGTTAATGTTCGAGATCATTAATCGCCTTTTAATATACAAGTTGGTTACAAAATTTCTTCGTCGACTATATTTCTCATTTCTCCTGCAATGAAGAAAACTTGGTTCGCGAATTCATCATCCATCCGGAAACTGCTAAGAATCGCCCAGTAGCCTTGTTACTGACATTAGTGTCATTTGACATTTGTCGAAATGATCAACATAGGAAATAAATTCCTTGTGTTAGAAAACAGGGATTAAAATCGTGTCAGAAACTTGAAAAGGCGAACCCGTTAACGGAAAATCGTCGATGAAATCCATATTTTCGATTTAAATGCAGATTCCGCCTATTATAGCATAAACAATGAATGCAGGCGGTGTATGTTTGGTTGCCTATAAAACAATCGTGCATTAATAGACAAATCGTCCATTAATAGGGGTCATTAATGAACGATTTCATATACATTAAACTTGGTCGTTAATACGAGATCGACGGAAAAAGTATATTAATTCAAAATTTTCACTTCAATTTCTGTCAGAGAATGTGTTTTCAATTAATTTAGTGAAACTATAACAAAACATTATTTCCCTATGTTTAATCTGATTCTTTTGAAGTGATACTTTCACTGTTTATTTCTTTCAGAGGATGCTGTTAGAATTATTTCAGCAGGAGGATTTTACATCAATCAACAAAGGACCAGTAATACAAATGAAGTGTTGAACATGAGCATACATAGACTTGAAAACAATGTCACCTTACTTAGAGTAGGGAAAAGGAATTATTATATTGTCAAATGGTTGGCTTAGCATGCAGTTCTAAAATATTTATTGTAACATGAAATGTGATAAGATCAAACCTGTATCATATTAATAAAATAACTAAGATTATAGTTTTTTAAACACTAAGCATTATTTCCTGGAAAACACTGCCAATTGTTGATACCAAAGCACTGATGTGATCAACGTGTATTTGGGAACGATTTGCCAGATCACTGCATATAGTATCTACATCAAAACTGTGATTGTATGAAGTATTTTTGAATACATACACTAATATTCCAATAGGTAAGTAGAACCTGCATGTCATTAACTTTTTAAATATCTGAAAGCCTTCATCACTCATAGTATACATGTTTTTGAGTTCATTGAACCACTGTTTCTTTGTTAAATATAACATTTCCAGTACATCTAAACATAATAGAGTTATTGAAGCTTTGATTTTACATTCCCTTTCAAACTGTACAATGAAGGTATTCAAATCATCCACATCATTTTGGATGGGTAAGTTATTTCCTAGTTCATTCAAAAATTCAACTTCAGATTGTCTAATCTTCTTGGAGCTATACTGTTGACCTGTAATTTTTTTCATAACTACTTCAATACCAGTAATTTTCAGATCTTGATCTCCTATATACTTGCTGGATATGAAAATGGCCACTACAGTCGAAAGAGCACAATCTTGTATTTCTTCTGCTTTTTTAGCTTTTCTGATTATATACTCCTGCAGAATATTCACAGCGTAAATGAAAACATGGACATCTTGTTTGAGCATGTTACATATTTCTTTCATGAGGATGGTGCACCTTTCATCTAATACTGGTTCAACGTAACTTGTTTCATTATCTTGCATTTCGATCAACCACTCGCTCAATAACTCAGATTCGAACTGATTGAAACTCATATTTTGATATGAATTACGACGTTCTGTGTTCGAAAGCTTCCGAAATGTTAATTTCTAGAATAATTCATCATTTCGAATAGCATGAAAACAACTCATCTTCAACTATTAAGAGGTGGCAGCTATGGGAATGGAGGATTTCCTCACCAGTTTTACCAACTCATTAAGCAAGCATTCATATTTACATGAATTACGTACAGGCAACCAAGGTTGGTAGATTTGATCAATTCTATCAACCTTATTGCTGGCAACCCTCAGAAAGAATTCGTTTTGTACAAATATCTGTGGAAACCAATGATGAGGGCCTGGATGAGGACTAGATGAGGATATTTATACAAGGTAATCCAAACTCAGCGTCCGCAGCCAATGGTGTATATTTATTCATTCATTATAAAATATATAAATCAACAAATAACTACCTAGCTAACAGTATTTTTGAATTGATCATTCTAGAACACGTTATTTTGACATGGTATCTTGAGGGGCACACAGACTATCTGTTAGTTTACCTTTGATGAGCATTGCCCTGGCCGTCCCTGCCATATCCACAATAAAATAACAGTTTCACCAAACAAAATTATGAAATTCTTTCTGGTTCCAACTCGGATTCCAAGGAAAACGATCCCACTAATTCTGGTTTTATATGACAATTCTTGACAAAATACAATGTTTGCCCCTCAGCAACCTGTCAGATGACGTATTTCTGGAATGATTAATAGAAGACAATTTTTTTTTTTTGTTAAGCTTGACGTTCAAACAGGAAAAAGTAGGCAGTGAAGATTTGGTCCAAACTCGAAAAGGCGATATGGTCGATTGTTTTTTTCATTCTTTCATACCTAGGTACCCAATAAACATATGTATGGAACACTTAAACTTTACATAATTCAAGAAACATAGGAAATAAGTATCATATACAGGATGTCCATCATCCGGGAACTGCATCGATATAGAAATAGAATATAGAAAACCATAGGTGGGCCAAACTTGAAAATTTGGGAGTTCACTATTGTTGATTAGTGCTATCCGGCTAAAATATTTTGGAGATTGTGGCACTTCCGGTTGTACCGGAAGTGGACCCCAACTTCGTTATTTGTTGTATATTATCAAAGTTTTAGATTTTACGCATGATTTTGAACATGTTCCATGTATAATGTCCTATATATATACCCAAGTCTGACCGTTTTCGAAATATTTCAAATTTCAAGTTGAAAATTGCGTTTGCGCAGACCGAAAAATATATTTTTTTTATTTCTGGGCATGATTATCTATTTTCGATTGTGTATCGATTTATTCGTAGGAGAGGACCCAGTTCAGTAGGATTTCGATATCAATTCGATTACAGTTATACAGGGCGTTCACCAGAAAATGATATAGACCCGGTTGAAAAAATTATTGTGAGTCAATTTTTTCAAATGGAGACCCCACAATTTCATATTCTCATTCGATTCGGCATCGAAAATGAAGCTAACTTTTGAAAAAGGTTATCTATGCCTTCACTCAACAGTTTTCGAAATAATGGCGAATTAACATGTCTCAATTGTTTTAGATGTATGACAAACTGACATTTATCATACAGGGCGTGGAAAGAAATTCTGAATTGAGAAAAAAAAAAAAAAAAAAAAAAAAAAAAAAAAAAAAAAAAAAAAAAAAAAAAAAATATTTATTTATTTATTCAAATGTATCCATTTTTTCATGTTTATAATATATCTGAGAATATTCCTTTTCAATAACATGTCTCAGCTAAAAATAATAAATAGATTCAAGTAATCTTCATCCGAATAATTCAAACGAGCCGACATGATTGATTACAATGACATTTCCGTGGCAGTTGATTGTTTCCAACGCACCTGCGGGCGCCATGACCAACTAAGAATACGTAAACTCAAGAATTCGAGAGAGATTTTCGGTTCTATTATCAAAACATAGTCAATATAAACAGCAGCAGACATATATGTAACAGATAACGTATCCTGAAACATCCTAGATCTCTCAACAATATGTAATCGATATAGATATACAGTGTGTCTCATTTATATATATATAATGGAAGCAACCCTCTGTGTCTTTTGAAATTGTTGAGTTAGGATTCTGAACTTTTCAGGAGCGGGAGCAGATCTACTGAAATATACGCACACTCTATATATGACTATATAAGTGTAGTCATCTTCGAAGATAAACATTCACTGCTAGCCAATAGCCATGAAACCATCACCCACATTTCCGGAAAATGATATCAGGAGGCAAAAGATATGTTAATAATCGCTTCGTATAGGTAATCGAAATCGAAACGTCCAATTCACTTTAACTATTTATATTTTTCCTGAATATATCTTATGTATAATTATTGAGGTATAATGAGATAGGGTTCTGAAATTTGCAGGAGAAAGGAAGAGTCCAAAGTCCAACAATGAGGTCAATTACGTATTACACTGAAGTGCCTCCATAAAAAGTGAGACACAATTCAATTTTCCAAAACTGAAAATATAAATAGTTATTGCGTGAATTGGACGTCCTGATCTTGAATCCGAAGTCATTTGGAGACCACAGGGGAAAAGGGGGGAATGTCAGAAAAAGTAAGTTTCGAGAAAAACGCATTTCAATGTTTAAGACCTCCTTACTTTTTGGAAGTTGAGGAAAACTGAAATCAAACCACCTGGATTCATTTGATGAAGTATAATGAGCAATGAAGTTGAACAACTAGAAATAAAAATCATATATTTGAATCGAAAAATCATCGAAAACAAAAAATAAGTCCAAAGATTCGAGGGAAAAATGGGGAATGTCCAAATAAATTGTCAAAAAACTGGATTGTTCACTCGCAATTATATCTGCTCTGTTACATTTTTTCATTCTTGCCTGACAACCTAATTAGCGATAAGTTATTGTCATATATATAGTACAGCTAGCATCTCTATATATATATAATTTGATCATTTTCTATCTGAGTAGGAATCATCATGTAGCAATACATTATTGTATTCTCATCACTCAGACGTACTCGACAAGCCCAGTTAACACACCATATTTTGTCGTCAACCTTGAAATATGTCGAACAACTCTTTACCAAAACTCGTTTATACATATATAACGGCAAAGGTTTTTTTGCCTAACAGAGTATTCCCAAGAACTTATATTCTCCGAAGGTTAAAAAAAACCAATACCTACCTCCTCTCCCGATCCTCCCTAGGTACCCACGAACATTATAGGGATTCCCTTTGGTACGCTCCAAGAGATAAAAAAAGGTGGCCGTATCTCTTTTTTTTCTCATATTTTGTTTGCCTGAGAGTTCACTTTGACCTTTTGACAGTGTGAAAACAACCTATTAAAATCACAATGGAATCTGTATTCAAGCAAGCACTATCTTGGACGTTTTTCCCCTTTATTCACATTTTTAAAATGGACATTCCGCGTTTTTCAATTCATATCACGCGGTATATGACTGGTGATGACTGTCTATCTGACACTCGCTGCTTGACTGACTGACGGCAGTTCTCCGGCCGTCCTTATACAGGGTGCCAAATTGAAATGGTTGAATGAAGGGGCCATCTGCTATCCTTTAAGACTAGTTAACACCTTTCATGCCCTGTGGATTATTTTAATCGTATTTTTATCAGTTCATCAAAAAAAGACCCAAATTCCACATTCTAATTCAAATTTTGAAAAAAGTATAAGGCGTAGACTCTGGATTTTAATTTTATTCACATGTGTATGTTACAGCACTCTTGAATACAAAACTAGTGACATAAGTCATCTAGGTTTTTTTTAATTTACTCGCAAAGTTTCGAAATATGTAAAACTCAAATTAAAGCTGTGACTTTACATGGCTACAAAAAAAACAAGAGCGACCAGGATCTTCCAACTCCCTCAAAAGTTCACTAGTCTATCCTCTTGCCTTGCTAATGATGTGTCACAATATCACATGCCATAAATATCTTTCAACAACTTTGTAAGTTCGCTAGAATTGTGAATCGAGTCATATAAGGCAAATATTCAGAATTATGATTTAAAAAATTATTTTTGTTTGAATGATACCTGAACTTTCAAATTTGTTACCTATCTTACTCTTCATGAGGTGAAATCTGTCTCGCATCTCTATTGTTTCGTGGATCATACTTGAAATAAACCAAAAATAAAATTGCATTTTCAACATTTATTTCGCATTCATTTCATGAATCTCACAAATCCTGCTC